AAAAAAAAAAAAAGAAATATGCATCCTAGAGGGGGGAGGGGCTGAGACAGGGGGATTGAAAAGAAATGTGCCATCCTTGGAGCATGGTCTGAGGGAAGAAGAGAGGATGAAAATGCCCTAGAGCAGTGATTTTCAACCAGTGTGCTGCAAAAATTTTTCAAGGTCATTAATTAAATTATTTTTGAAAGATGTTCATAGCACAGTAAGCATAATCTTTTTTTTTTTTTTTTACTTTTTTTGGATCAATGTGATTTAAGTGTGCTGTGGAAGTTTTAACTATAGGGTCAAGTGTGTCACGAGATAAAAAAGGTTGAAAAACACTGGGTTAAAATCTCAGCCATAAGAAAAAGTTGAGAGGAAAGACAGGTTCACGTGCTTCACGTGGTTCCTTGGACCACATGCTTTATGCACGTACGCTGTCTTCCTTGATTCTTAGGACAGCCGAAGTGTAGCATAACCAACTCCATTTCTGGATGTGGCTTGCTGAGCTTACGGTCACACAAGTGAGAAGGGCAGAGCCTGTCCACGGTCACCCTAAGCCTTGCCTTCCTGTTGCCTCCCTGTGTGGCCGCCTTCCTGGTACAGGGCCTCTTGTTCCCCATGGTCTCGTCACTCAGCCCAGAGTGGTGCCTCACCTGTGGGTAAGAGCTAGACCCTCCTAGCTGCATCATGGGAGTGGGCAGAGCCAGCATTTCAGGCACAGGGAACAGGACTGCAGCTTCCTGTTTAGATCCAGGGGACCTTTGCCAGCAATAGTTTTCTTTTCCTTGCATGGGTCGTTGTTCACAGTTTCAGATGTTTCAGGTGCCCCTCCCCCGGTTACCCTGCAGCAGGCCAGTGTGGTGTGGTGAGAGGAGAGCACACTCCAGTGCCAGACCAGCTGGGGTGCGGTCTGGGGTTAAGTAGGAGGGAGCAAGTCCAAGATCGAGGCTAAATGATGCAGTTCAGCTAAGATACTCTGTTAAACGTTTTCTAGATTCCTCCTACAGAAGGGGGTATGGGGGAGGGGCACCCAGCAGTTGCATAGGATACCCACCCTCTCATGGATGTCCCTGCCCAGCTCTGCTGTCATTTTGGGCTTCTAGTGACAAAAATTCAACTGAAACTAACTTAAACATAAATCGGGGTGGGGGGGTACATTGAGAGATACTAAAATAGTCCCAGAACCAAAATAAGAGCTAAGCAACTGGAAAGATGGGGACCTGGTCCTTGCACTCCAGGGTCTGGAACACCACCAATATTTCCTGTTTCTGTCCATGGGGTGGCTTCATTCTTTGGCTTTCCTGGATGTGTGGCCATTCATGGATTCTGAGCTTACATCTTAGCTCATTACCAGAGAGCAAGTCCCAGGCAAGGTCTTTGATTGGTCTAGCTCATGCCAGATACCCAGCCCTGACCCAATCACTGTGTGGACAGGGAGGCAGAATCCTGGAAGGGTGCAGTCCACATATAGGATTGGGCTGGGGACAATTCTCCCAAATGCTGTTTCCAGAAAGAGGAGAGGGTATTGGGCAGATCAAACACAAAGTGGCCCTTTCCTCTCATGGAAACTCCTTTGCAAAGCTCAGCACCTGGCTGGCTGTTCTTTGGAGTTGCAGGAAACCAACCTGAAGTTGTGGTTTTTGGGTAGGCGTGATGGCATAGGGGGAAATATCAGAGCGTCTCCGGTTGCCATTTTAAGACAAGCCTTTTCCTTACAACTTCAGTATTTTTTATCCTGAGGGTGTTGTGGCAGGTGTTTCTGCCTTTCCGCTTCACAGACAAGAAATTGAGGCCCAGATGACTTGCCTATGATTATCCAGCAAGTCATGGGCAGAACTAGAATCAGATCCTGGGTCTCCTGCCTCTGAGGCCCTGTAGGAAGTTTCTGCAGGAACAGAGGTAGGACTCAAGCCTGGCTCCAGGCCCTGAACCCTGCTGGAGCCTCTATCCAGAAGGGAGAGGTGGGATGTGAAGGTGAGCAACGTGCCAAGGACGGCTTGTCCATCTGCAAGCATTTGCAGAGGTCTCACTGTGGGTCAGGTTCAGTGCCAGACACTCACAGTCTAACATCCTCCACCCTCCAAACAGACCCTCATGGCCACACTGTGTGCTGAGTGCCTGAGAGGAGGCACCTGGCCTGTGTGGGGGAGAGGAGGCCGCTGCTCAGGAGGTGCTGCTCACAGGAAGAGGCCCTTGAGCTGGATCTGGAAGGGGTGGAAGAATATTGTGGGTCATGGGAACCCCAGCTGTGAAGGCACGGAGGCAAGGAGAAGCACAGGATCTCCTGTGTCCCGACCCTGGGAGTAGCCAGGCCTCTGTGCTGAGTAGTTTAACCTACTGGTACCGCATGCCCTCCCTGCAGCAGCATCTTTTCAGGTAGGTGGGTTTGCTTCCTGCCCTCAGGGGCTGCACACCGCTAACCCTGCTCTACTCTGATAGGCTCCAGGTAGAGGCCTCAAAGTCCTCTAGCCATGACATGCTCCCCCTGGCAGGCTCTACCTCTGTTTCAGAATCTCGGCGAAGGACCATCTTTGAATATCACCGTGTGGAGCTGGACCCCAGCAAAATCACCAGCATGTCAGCTGTGGAGTTCACCGCATTGCCAAGTGAGTAGCGATTGTTCCCACAAAAGGGGGGGGGCATTTTACCATCCTGGAAAGAGCTTTGCCATCACGTAGTCCTAGGCCCACCACCACCCCTGAAGGAGATGGCTACCTATCTTTTCTGGGTCTCCGTGTCTCCAAAACCCTCAGGAAGGGCAATCCAGGAACTGGACTGGTCCATAATTTGTCATCATACTTTCCTAGAGGTGATGCTGGAGGCCACAGGCAGAGGGTAATGAAGGGATGTAGCAACCAGCCTCTGGGATCCACAGAGCTCTGGCCCTCTGCACCCCACTCACCTAGAGTTCAGAACAACTGGGGCCGAGGCCCCACCTGCTGCTGTAGACCCTCAGGATCAGGGTCGGATCATCTCCGGGATGCAGTTGGGATAGTGAGAGAGAGTATGGGAAGGAGGCCCTCCCCCCATCTCCATCTTGGTCTTTTTAAGAGGATTTTAACCCTCTCCCATCTCATGGGGCCTCCCAGCCTCCCCTTGAAGCTGGGGCCTGCTCCTGCCTCTGTGGCTAGGACACTTTGCAGGTCATAGCCTCACCCCCAACTCAGTTGCCCTCCATTGAAGTACTGTCCTCCAGTACTTCCTCAAGGACAGGCAAGAGCACTTCAAACCCTAGGACATGGACAAAACTGCATTTAAGAGCAAGGACTTCCAAGGGCAGGCCTAACTGCTCAGGCAGAAGCAGTGAAGTGTTCTGGGAATGCATTTCTGGGACACTGTACATTTAAGGCACTTCCTACCTCTCCAGTGAGTTTTGAGAGCATTTAATAGCATTTGAGACATCTGAAATGTAGATGAGAAAGAAAGGTCAGAAGTATTATGAATCCCCCATAAGGCGTCCATGGGTTTTCTGTGGCCAGCTTGGCCAGAGCCTTTTAAGAGGCCCCCAGAGTCAGTAGGAATGCTAAGGCCAGGGATCCCATGTGGGTGCCGTGTGGGTGCAACTGGTGGTAGAGGGGCAGTGCTCTCAAGCCTATGATCTGAGCCCGCTGGGAGGCCAGTTAGCTTTGTCCTGAGAGAGCCCCCTGCATCTCTGCTTCTCCCTTACCATTTGTGTGCTGGGATGACTTATCCAAGTTCCTTCCAGAGGGTGGGTGGCTTATCTCTAAGCCTTCATACTCTGAGACTATCCCTTTGGCCCCTCTTATAGGAGAAAACCAAGAAAAGATGGCCTGCGGTGAGGGTGGGAGCTGGGGCAGAGGGAACCCACAGTGGGACCTCAAGGCCAAGAGCTCTGGCTCTGCGCTCAGACAGCCCTTGGTTCAAACCTAGGTCTGAAGAGTATCTCTATAGCAGTTCAACATACCACATGCCGGGCACCGTTACAGATCCCTGGACACACAGGGAACAAAACAGCCAGAGAGTTCACCTTCTTGCTCAGTGAAGTCCCTGCTTATTTCCTGCATGTGGCTTCCCATTCATTTTCCAAGGGCCCTCAGCGCCATGGCAAACAAATGGACACAATGCCACCAGCCACCAGTGCCTCCCAGACTGACTGAAGGTGGCCATACTGTGCCCACATAGCCTCTCTCCTACTCACCAAGGGCCGGTCCGATCTTGTGGGGTCTCCATGTAATGCAAATTGGCTCCCTAATTAACAGATTGTGGTACAGGGACATGAAAACTCACATCATGAAGAAATGCATGTGATAGTATTCATCGAATGAGTGGCCTTTTTTTGTGGTTCCTTGTCACTTGCTGTCAAGGTGTTCTGTTGAGCTGCTTGTTGAGATGAGCCCTTCAATTGCACATAGGTATTCTAGGTGAGTGCCTGTGTCCCTTTGTAATAAAATGCATGAGCTTTGTGACAACTGCTTGCCTCTGAGAGTCTTCTGGTTCACTTACTCAAGTAGCAGTGAATTGCAAGCGAATAGCTCTTAAATCCAGTCCCCACGCCTCCTGCTCTCACTGCTCATCTGCAATGGGGTCATGCTAATGCTGTACCCTTCGGGCTCTGCACAGGGACCCCTCTGCCTGGTCTCCACCTCCTCTGGGAGAGCTCCATCTCTTCTTTTTTTCAGTTTCTACACAAATGTCCTCTCCTTGAAGAGGCCTTCCTTATCATCCCTGAATAAAACCAAGCCCTACTCTCATTCTTCCTCCCTGCCCTAGTCCGCTATTCTCATGGCCCTTCTTACACAAGAAACTCTCGTGTTGATTTATGTGTCTGTTCTGTCATCAGCTCACTGGACTGCAGCCTCCACACAGGCAGCGCCTCTGTCTTTTCCTGCTTACCTGCTTACCTGCTTGCCTGTGTGTCTCTAGCACTTAGGATAATGCCTGGCCCCTGGTGGGTGCTCAAGAAATATTAGTTGGGCCAGGCATGGTGGCTCATGCCTATAATCCTAGCACTCAGGGAGGCCAAGGCGGGTGGATCACTTGAGCTCAGGAGTACGGGACCAGCCTGAGCAAGAGGGAGACTCTGTCTCTACACAAAATAGAAAAACTAGGCAAGGTGTTGTGGTAGGCACCTATAGTCCCTAGCTCAGGCATCCTCAAACTACGGCCTGTGGGCCACATGCGGCCTGCTGAGGACATTTATCCAGCCCATCAAGTGTTTTTGCCACTGCTGCCTGTCCTGCTTAGCAGCTAACTCGTCCCGGGGCCCGCAGTCCAGCCCTCCAACGGTCTGAGGGACAGTGAACTAGTCCCCTGTTTAAAAAGTTTGAGGACCCCTGCTGGAAGGCTGAGGCAAGAGGATCTCTTGAACCCAAGAGTTTGAGGTTGCTGTAAGCTATGACAACATGGCACTCTACCTAGGGTGACATAGTGAGACTCTGTCTCAAAGGAAGGGAAGGAGAAGGGGAAAGAAATGAAAGGACAGTAGAAAAGAAAAGATAAATATTTGTTGAATAAATGAATGAATGAATAAATTAGTGTAAAAGTAAGTGAATGAATACCTCACAGGTTTATTGAGAGGAATGAATAAGTCAGTGGTAATAACAAGTAGCATTTCTTGGGCACCCCTCCTAAGGCCATCACTGAGAGATCCCCTCTCTGGGTATTATTTCATTTCATCCTCACAGCAAGTCCACTAGGAAGGTGGCATCATGCTCCCTGTTTTACAAATGAGATAACCAAGGCAACAAGAGGTTAAGTAACTTCCCTAGTAGGACTTCAGTCTGGATGACTCAAGGTGATGGCACAGTCCCCACGGCAGCTCCCTTCCAAGGGGAGGTCCAGAAAGAAGGAACAGAACTGCCTGAATCTGGTTGGCCTCACAGATTGAGTGCTCAGTGTCCTCAGAGGAGGCCAGAGAGGAGCTGGAGAGAGGCCAGATGGGACTCTGATGGCAGTGAGGTCCCCCTACTACCTGTGGATGGGAGACAAACACAACATCTTTTATTTTTTTTTAGAAACTGGGTCTCACTCTGTCACCTAGGCTGGAGTGCAGTGGCACAATCATAGCTGACTGCAACCTTTAACTCCTAGGCTCGAGCAATCCTCCTGTCTTAGCCTCCTGAGTATCTGAGACTACAGGTGCCCCCCACAACACTTGGCTAATTTTGTATTTTTTATAGAGATGGGTCTCACTATATTGCCCAGGCTGATCTTGAACATCTGGCCTCAAACAGTCCTCTCACTTTAGCCTCCCAAAGTGCTAAGATGATAAGTGTGAGTCCCTGCACTTAGCCTCAGAGTATCTTTTAAAAACATAACTTCTATTGCATATATTTCAGTTATACAACATGTTATGAAATACATATGCATAGAAAAAATGTTATCATAATGAAGCTAATTAATACATCCATCATCTCATGATTACCCATTTTCTTTTGTTTTTGTAGCAAAAGCAGATGAAATCTACTCACTTAGCATCCATCCCAAACACAATACAATTTTATTAGCTATGGTCTTCCTGTCAAACATTAGATCTCTCCTAGGTATCTGCTACTTTGTAACCTCTGATGTTTAAAAAAAATCCTTCTGGACTTTGTGACTGTAGGACCTTGTGACTGTGGGACATATGCCTGGAAGTGTAATTTCCCCAACTAGATGAGATCTCTTTGTATACATGTATGTGATTATCCTGCATAGACCTCATGGCAATTCTAATTCTGTAGTTATTTTTATTTGATTAACTGCTTAGTGTCTGTCTCCCCATATGACTGTAAGCTCCAGGAAGATGGACCAGATGTCACTGCTGAATCCCCAGCCTCAGTTCAGGGCCTGGCCCCCTAGGAATGGGAGGAAGGAAAGAAGGGAGGGAGGGAGGGAAGTTAAGAAAGAAAGAAGTTAGGCTGGACTCAAGTGAGGGTTATTGACCTCAAGTGTCCCTGCTGAGTCAGGGACTCCACAGTTCTGTGAACACCCACTATTAGGGAGTGGCACCTTCAGAGCCCCTGGAGAGGTCCTGGTGCTGAGTGGTCGCTGCCTTCTCTCTTGTAGCCTGCCTGCAGCATCAGAGCTGCGACGCCTGCATGTCCTCGGACCTGACCTTCAACTGCAGCTGGTGCCATGTCCTCCAGAGGTTGGTGCCCAGGGATACCTGCTAATTCCCAGACTGTGGAGGAGGGGCAGAGGGTGGCATAGCCCAGCTCCTGGCCTCAGGTCTCACTGCCCACAGTCTGCCAGTGTGAGGGTATCTCTGGCCAGTGCCACTCTGACCCTTAGGACAAGAGTGTCTCAGAAGGGAGTTTTCCCTGAGGCTCGTGGCTGATCTGGTGTTTGTGTGTCAGGGTGTGGCCTGTGGTGATGCTAGGTTTCTGGAACACCACTTTGAGGTCCAGCTGCTATAGCTTCTTCCCCCCACCCAGGGAGGGTTGGTTCATCCTAGAATAGGGCTTGTCACAGAGTGATCCACAGCTGTGGGCATCCTATACTGAGGACTTGTATCAAACATGCAGAGTCCTGGGACCCACTCACACCCTCTGCACCAGGCTTTCCAGGAGAGAACCCAGGAAGCTGCATTTTAACATAGTGCTTCATCTGCAAACAAGTATGAAAACTGTCAGCTCAGAGAAAGGACATAATCCAGAGCCCCAGCAACCCCAGACCGTACCTCAGATCTTTCTTAGACTACGACAGCATTTCCTGAAAACCAGGGGTCTGGACACTGCAGGCATCCGTGGAAAGTTGGGGAAAGCTACAAAACTGTGTTTGCTTGGTTTTGGAAGCTCAGAAAATTCTGAGTAGGATTCAGTTTCAGGGATAAAGTTCTTAAATCTAACTCATCTCCCACTCCTTGTTCTGAAATCATTTCCTCACAGATTCAACTCAGGCTTCAAACTTTGTTCCCTGTCCAAGATAAATAAACAGTGGAAGGGAAAGAAAAAAGGATTTCTTTGGAGACTAGGGCTCTCGTGAGAGTGGGAAGCCCTGTGAACTCCAAGAGCCTTTAAGGCAATCTTGAAAATTGCAAAATTATAGCCTCTGAGTTTCCATCCAGCTGCTATGCAACTGTCAGCATTTCCTTTGCGCCTTTCCAATATTCTGGTACAGAAGTGGAAGCTCTCACCTTTATAGGCAGGCTGCCTGGCTTACAGGACATGGCTCCAGGCTGGAAGGTGACCGGGTGGTATTCCTCGGTCCTGTCAGGTGTTCTTTCCACCAGCTATGCTTTTACTCATTCTCTTGGGGGCCTCAGTTTGTTTACCATGTATAATGGGCCAGGGTCATATGATTCAGGGAGATGCGGGTAAGGAACACATCATTATTTAAGCCCTTTGAATACCAAACAACCATTTTATGAAGCATTTAGGGTCTTTCACATAAAATTAGAGAGGGCTTGGCACCTGTGGCTCAAGCAGGTAAGGCGGCAGCCACATACACCTGAGCTAGCGGGTTCGAATCCAGCCCAGGCCCACCAAACAACGACGGCTGCAAACAACAAACAGCTGGACATTGTGGCAGGCGCCTGTAGTCCCAGCTAATTTGGAGACAGAGGCAGGAGAATCGATTGAGCCTAGGAGCGGGAGGTTGCTGTGAGCTGTGATGCCACGGCACTCTACCTAGGGCAATAGCTTGAGACTCTGTCTCAAAAAAAAAAAAAAAAAATTAGAGAGCCCAGAGAAAAATATACAGGGTAGAGTCCAGGTTGGTTCTTTTGGAGTGAAGCTTTGCAGAGTGATCTCCAGACTGTGAGGCGCTAAGAATCACCTGGAAGGCTTGTGAAAATGCAGATTCTTGGGCCCTGCACCAACTCACTAAATATAATCCTCTGGGACCATGATCCCAGGAATCTGATTTTTGAAGTGGTCCATCTTGTGCACTTTCAAATTTGAGAACCACTGTCTCAGTGATAGGGAGATGACCTCAGATGAGCCCTGAGATTTTGGGGCTGGCTGCCACTGCATGACTCAGCCTCCAATAAGAGCTGAGCCATGAGAACTGCAAAATGGGTCAGATGAAAGCAAAACCCTTGCACTGACACAACTCCCATCAGATGCACACTCCCAAACTCAGAGACCATGGCAGTTTAATGAGGGCTAGGCCTGCCTCAACATTAAGAGGTTGGTCAGGTTGGGGGAAGGGCAAGCCCTCTGGTTGAGGGCTCTGCCCTTTTTGTGGTTATGTCAGCAAAGAGAAACAGAGCACAGCACAGAGAAACCCCATCAGAGTACAAGACTGATGTGGGCTGGAAACCCATCCCATCCCTAGATGCCCCAAGGGCCTGAGCTCACTCTACAGCATGCCCCTCCTTGCTGGTTTTCTGGAGCTTCAGCTCCAACTGAGAGCTGACCCCAAGTCCTCAAAAAGCCAGAGGGCGAGGGCTGGTGCATTGGGGCCAGATCACATGGTCTCTCCCACCAACATCTGCCGTCAATCACCACGTGGCTCTCTCTTCTCCTCCCCTCCACATACTTGGCCTTCCTTAGCCTCCCAGGATATGCCCTCCCTTCTCTGGAGCCAGATCTAATTCAGACAGTTTCACCTACAATGACAGCTGTCTTCCCTTCATCCTACCTTGCTCCACCCCCATGGCCCACTCTGGAGCCTAAGGGTAACTAAGGCTCAGGCTGACCAAGCTCTCCGAGACCACTAGACAGGTGTCTTGACCTTGCTGGTGCAGAGCTAACTTGCCAAGAATTCTTTCTCAGCACCAGTGGCTTGGAATGTCATTCTTCCGGTGCTGATGCCTCTGAGCTGGAGCTAGGCTTTGGTGGATTCCCCAACACCAAAGAGTGAAGAATGGAAATGTGTGCATAACGTGCGAGAACATTCTCTGGTTCATGTGCAGGCCTCACCCCTTCCCGGGGGAGTGCTCAGTATCTCAATGTATAATTAACTTCACAATTAGGTTAGGAAATAGGGGTCATAATCCTTGCCTTTTTGGTGAGGGTCCTGTGCAATGGTATTTAGGAGGTGTTCAATAAATGACCATTTCTCATGCACTTCTTTGAAGCTGGGTTGGTTGGCTCAAGGCTTAGATAGTGGTGATCTTAGATCTTCACCCAAGGTTCAATCCTGGAAAGACTCAGTTACCTCTTATCAGTGTCTGGGAATATCAAAGAGAAAAACAAAAAAGAAGCAATGAGAATCAGTCAGCTTGGTCTAAAAGAAATTTTAGTTCCCAGCCTCCAACAGCCCCACCCAAATCCTCCATTCCCCAAAGTAGGGGGACCCAAGAGAAGGAGAATGTGGATGCCTCCAATAGGCCATCCCAGTTGCAGGAGGAACCCACAGAGGGATCTTTAAAAGGAAAGGCTGGCGGTCCTTGGAAAGCCTCAGCCCTTGCCTCCCCAGGCCTTGGGCAATTGCTGGTACAGAGCTAACTTGCCAAGAATTCTTTCTCAGCACCAATGGCTTGAAATGTCATTCTTTTAGTGCTGATGCCTCTGAGCTGGAGCCAGGCTTTGATGGATTCCCCAGCACCAAAGAGTGAAGGATGGAAATGTGTGCATAATGTGCGAGAACATTCTCTGGTTCATGTGCAGGCCCCACCCCTTCCTGGGGGGAGTTCTCAGTGTCCTCTCTGGAGACCTTTTCCAACCAGTTCTTAATCTCTCCCAGCCTCTGCCTTGAATGATTGCACATGGCATCTGCTAACACCTAACCTTTGGCCCAGACTCTCCTTCCCAAGTTTAGGCCCCCCAACAATGATGGGGATGGCAGGCACAGTGGCTCATGCCTGTAATTCTAGCACTCTGGGAGGCCAATGTGGGTAGAATGCCTGAGCTCAGCCTGTGCAAGAGTGAGACCCATCTCTACTAAAAATAGAAAAACTAGCTGGGTATCATGGTGGGTGCCTGTAGTCCCTGATACTCGGGAGGCTGAAGCAAGAGGATCTCTTGAGCCCAAAAGTTTGAGGTTGCTGTGAGCTATGATGATGCCATGGCACTCTATCGAGGGTGAAAAAGTGAGACTCTGTTTCCAAAAACCCCAAAAAATATAACAGGGAGATCTGTGATTGAGCCAGCCTTTCTCCAGATGAAAATGTGTGAAAATGTCCTGGGTTCTCAGTAATCTCATAGCAACACAGAGTCAAGGGAATCTTCAAGATCATTAGAAGTCACACAGTTCTGCTGGTCCCTACCCACACACATGGGCAGATTCAGCCTTGGTCCTGGGAGCTGGCTCTGGAAGGTGGGGATGCCCCAAATACCTTCCCCTCCTTCTAGGGGAAGGCACAGAGGAGGCCAGTAGGGCTGACTCCTGTCCTACAACTTCCTGAGGTCAAGACACCTATCTAGTGGTCTTGGGGAGCTTGGTTAGCCCAGCACTGGGAGCTCAGTCCCTCTACTCGTTGTCAAAACAGGGCTGTTGCCAAATGGGGGAAGTGAAAGGGGAGGACTTCTCTGTGAATCCTGTCACGTCTCTCACCTTTTGGTCCCCCTGCAGATGCTCCAGTGGCTTTGACCGCTACCGCCAGGAGTGGCTGGTATACGGCTGTGCCCAGGAGGTAAGAGGCATAAGTAATCTGCTGTAGCTCCTTTGCTAGATAAAGAGGACAGGGCGGCTACTGGCAGGCCCTTGCCCTGGCAGCTTTTCTCAAGATGTCCTTAGTTGTTGATATCTTCCCCTCCATCTGAGGTTTGTTTTCCAGACTGCTCTGAGCTACTTCAGAAGGTTTAGAGAGCTCTGTTGAGTCCCTGAGACAAGCACTTATGATGACTTGGCCTTGAGTGGGCAGCCCTCAGGAAACTCCGTTGTTCCATGCAGAGGGTACACTGGGCATGGCCTTAGCCATGCTGGATCCCCTGGGAGACTGCACTTGGTGACATTAATGAAGCACTGAGTACACTTGCTTTGGGGGGAGGCAGTCATTCTGGGAGTAAGGAGGATTGCTCCAGGCACTTCTCATTTAGAATCTCATACTGGTTTCTTCTCACTGCTAAAATTTTCCAGAGAACTGGACACTTTGATTCTGCACGGAGATCAGCCTGAGTCCCACACCTTGTCTTTTCTCCTCCCTCCCTTCCTTCCTCTCTCTGTCTCTTCTTGTAATGTGAGCACACTGCACATGCCAAGCATTCACACTGGGATGTCCTACCCTTGTTCTTACTTGATCTAACCCCCAAAGTAGGGCTCGTGCCACTTTGGAGGAAACTGGAGGGGGAAATTGGAGCTCAGAGAAGTTTAGTTACTTGGCCTGCAACTCACAGCTGGAAGGTGCTAGCCCAGCATTAAATGTCAACTCCCTAGACCCCACTGTCCCATAGTTACCATCCTCTATTTTATTAATCTGGGTCTGAGTGAGCCATGTTTTTCTGGCCTTAGAAAAAGAAATTTTGCCTAGCAGCCCACTCCTTCAGTTGGCTGTTAGTGAATGTTCAGATTTGCTTTATTTGTTCAAGATCGACATCTCAGCTCCTTCCTTGAGGAAGGATTTGAAGCAGCTGCCAGATAAATTGCCCTGAAAGATAAGACACTTTCAGGATGGGGTGGAAAGTGTGAATGCAGTAAGGGCGCAGCTCTGTCCAGGGCAGCAGTGCCGAGGTCTCTCTTGCAGGCTGAGGGCAGGACATGCGAGGACTTCCAGGATGAGGACCACTACTCAGCCTCCCCCGACAGCTCCCTCAGCCCCTTTGATGAAGATCTCACTACCACCACGCCCTCCTCCTTCGTCATCGACAGCCTGACCACGGAAGGTGAGGTCTGAGCCCATGCGCGGGGTGGGGGAGGCCATGGGGAAGAGCCTCTGCTCAGGGCACTTGCTATCCTTAACAGGGACAATCTCATGGGACAGGAATTGCCCCACCCAGGTACAGAGGAGGGGCCACCAGAAGCTCAGACAGTTTGGGTCACTTGCTGGTAAAAAGCAGAGTCCAGTTTAGGATAAGTGGACTCTACTCCTGACTCTCACTGTGCTGGCCTGCAGGAGGGCTGAGAGAATTCACTGTAGTGAGGAGAAAAATTAATATCCCAGCCCAGTGCCAAGTATTATACATAACATATCTTAGTTAATATTAACAGTAATCCTGGGGCCAGGCACGGTGGCTCATGCCTATAATCCTTGCAGCCTGGGAACCCAAGGCAGGAGGATTGCTGCAGCTCAGAAGTTCAAGACTGGCTTGAGCAAGAGTGAGACCCTGTCTCTAAAAAATAGCTGAACATTGTGGTGGACGTATGTATAACCCCAGCTACTTAGGAGGCTGAGACAAGAGGATCATTTGAGACCATAAGTTTGAGGTCACTGTGAGCTATGATGCCATGGTGCCCTATCAAGGGCGACTAAGTGAGACTCTGTCTGAAAAAAAAAAAAAAAACAAAGGTAATCTTTATAGAACCTGAGCGATCTTATCACCCCTGCAGCAGGTGTGAGCTCAGCACATGCACTGAGACGTTAGCGAAAAATGCTTGATTTTTCTATAACTTTACTTCTGACTCTTAGCCCCTACTCAGCTGGAGTGGTGAGGAATTGTACCTCAGACTGGCACTTAGCTCCCTGTTCCTGTGGCCATGTGCTGACAGGGGATCTCAGTGGTGCCACAGTGTCCTCCATCTTTGGCTTGTTGCTGATCCGCCCTGCTCCTTCAGGCCTGGCTGTCCGCAGGGGCTTCCTTGATACCGCAAGGCCTGGGTGTCTGGGTTGAAGCTGCCAAAGGTCCACTTACCTGGAAGCTCTCTGCAGGCCTCTCTGGTTTTAGGACTCTTAAATCTCTTCTCTTTCTCTGGCTATCTCTGGGAAATTCCTCTCTTACCCTTTTTTAATACTGCATCTAGGTTTGAAAGATTGAAAGGCTTATAGCTTCCCCTGAGCTTGAAAAGAATAATGGAAAGAAGGAAAGAAGAAAAAAGTTAATATGTTGTTGTTATTGTTATTATTATTTTAAGACAGACTCTCGCTTTGTCACCCTGGGTAGAGTGCCGTGGCATCACAGCTCATAGCAACCTTAAACTCTTGGGCTCAAATGATCTTCTTACATCAAGCCCCCAAGTAGGTGGGACTACTGGTGCCCACCACAATACTCAGCTATTTTTAGAGACAGGGTCTCACTCTTACTCAGGCTGGAGAAGTTAACATTTTAAAACATAATTCAGACACGAACATTTTTTAATAGATAATGAAGCAGGCTCTTAAGGTACAAAGTAGTTCCTCAGGGTTACATGAGGGATAAGTGATGAAATGTTCTTTCCACAGTGTCTCCTGCCTTTCCAAACATCACCTAGAGAACATGGACCTGGCCAGAAGGCAGTCACAGAGGGGAATGAACTAATGCCAGAAAGGACTTACATTTGGGGAGGCTGACCATGTTCCCTGTAGGGTGCTAAAGCAACACACAGTTTAATATTGAGTCCTCCTGCATGTTGATACTATTATGTCTCTACTTTATAGAGGAGGCACTAAGGCCTAGCGAGGCTGATGACTTGCCCAGGGTCACACAGCCAGGAAGAGCTAAGACTCAGGTCTCTCATCTCTTATCTCAGGCTGGGCATGGTGGCTCACGCCTATAATCCTAGCACTCTGGGAGGCAGAGGCAGGTGGATTGCTTGAGCTTACAGGTTTGAGACCAGCCTCAGCCAGAGCGAGACCTCGTATCTAAAAATAGCCAGGCTTATGGCAGGTACCTGTAGTCCCAGCTACTAGGAGGCTGGGGCAAGAGAATTGCGTGAGCCCAAGAATTTGAGGTTGCTATGAGCTAGGATGCCACAGCACTTTACCAAGGGCGGCAAAGTGAGACTCTGTTTCAAAAGGACTCAGGTCTCATCTGACTCCAAAAGCAGTAATCTTCCCCCTTGACCCCACTGCTTTTCTTAGTGCTGAATGAAATGGAAAAAGGTCTGTGTGGATTTGGGGGCAGGGAAAAATAGCAAAGGGTGAGCAAGCGAGGCAGGTTCCCACGGCTCCCGTTACTCTGAAGTTAGCGGGGAATAACAAGGAGCTGGTTAAGACTCAGGTACTGAGAGCAAAGCACATACTGGTGCTGCAGGGGGTTAATTAAAAAGAGGCAGAGAGTAACCTTGCCCTTGGGGAGTTAACAACCAAGTTCATGGGTGACCTTCCAGTCAAAGGAAACTCCACTTAGAAGGAAGCATGCCCTGGTCAGTCACCCTTAGTTAACCCCTGTGCTTATTAAGGGCATGTTCTGAGCCCAGAGCTGGGCCTGGGGATGCAGACACCTCCCACTCCACTGAAAGGGTTTAGCCACAGGGTGTCAGAGGCCAGAAGGACTGCTGTGCTTGTAACTGTCATATTTAGATTTGTTTGCTCAAAGTACACAGCAAGCCAATACTCCAAACCACCAGCTCACAGCAGAGAGAGGGGTTTCTTGCAAGACCACAAACAAGGAGATAGGAGGAAACCTTAATGAGTTTGGGGATAGGGATATTTAGGGGTTTGGAGTGAGTCTGTCGAGTTCACGGACTAGCAGAAGAGTGCAGAGTGAAGCTATGGGATGGGAGATGGAGAAACTGCCTTCTCATGCTGATTTAGTTCTCTGGGGGTCGGGGTGGGGTCTTCAAACTAGTTGGCATCAGCTGTTCTGAAGTAATTCAGGACCTTATAAACATCTTAAACAATTCTTAAACAGAAGCCTGTCTATAGGAATGAGGAGGTGCAAATAATCAGTGTCTAGTGCTGCCTGACTTCCGCTTACAGCAGCCTGATTAATATTTAACCTTAGTGACACTTCTGTCCTGAATTTTTGTAACTTGTGAGGGTGGCTTCATGGTGGGCATGCAGAACTGTGTTCAAATCCTGCCTTGTAATTACTTGCTCCCCAGAGGGCCCACTTCTCCCGTGTCACTGCAGTGGTGGGCTGTCCCTACACAGAGGCAGTGAATTCTGTTGCCAATTTTATTATTTGTGTGCATCTCCTGCCAGTCCAGGGACGGGTCTCACTCCTGTTTGCTGTGTAATAATTCCCAACAGGAAACCTTAGAGTAGGTGAAGACAGTTAGGGCTCTATGTCCTTCTAGTCCTGGAGGAGGTAGCAAGGATTATCAACTTACATCAATAAGAGGGAAAAAACCAACTTTTAATGGGGACTCTCCGCACGTAGCCAACTCTCAAAGCCTCTTGGCAGAACAGGTTTTAATCAGTTTCTCACCTATGTGGCTGCAGCCTGCATGGGGAGACTTCTGGGTGCAGGGTAAGTCTCTCCTGGACCTTCTACCTCGGAGTTCAGGCTACCACGGGTCGGTGTTGTGAACAAAGGGATGCTGGCTCCAGCCAGAGGGACCTGCCAGGGCATGGCAGAGTCAGAGAGCAGCCAGGGCCATAGAGGGGTGGATTTAAGAGCTGCTTCCCACTGAGCAATCCTCCTGCCTCAGCCTCCTGAGTAGCTGGGACTACAGGAGTGCACCACATGCCTGGCTAATACGAGGTGCTTTTTATATTAGTCAGGTTTCTCCAGAGAGAAAGAACCAATAGGAAATATACGTGTATATAGACATATGAAAGGGGATTTATTAGGGGAATTAGCTCATGTAATTATGGAGGCTGAGAAGTCCCATGATAGGCCATCTGCTCTGCAAGCAAGAGCCCCTGGGATGCTGGTAACTTGCTCAGTCCCAGTCCTGAGGCCTTGAGAACCCAGGGCTGGGTATAGCACTGGTGTGAGTCATGGAGTCTCAAGACCAGAGAACCTGGGGGCCTGACGTCCAAGGGCAGGACAAGGAGAGTGTATCCCAACTTCAGGAATGAGACAGACCAATTGCCTTTCCTCTGTTTTCGTCCCTTGCTAAATGGATGGAGCCCACCCACACTGAGGATCTTCCCCACTTAAACCACACAGACTCACACGCCAGTCTCCTCTGGAAACTCCTACCAGACACACCCAAAATAAGGCTCTACCAATTCTCTAGAGATTCCTTAATGCAGTTGAGTTGACACTCAGAATTAACCATCACACTCGTTAATTTTTTAATTATTATTTAGAAATTAAATGATTACTATGATTTCAAAGTCAAATCTACAAAAGCAGGTATATTCAAAGAATTTTAGGTTCTCCTTCTCTCCTTCCACTCTATCTCCTTCTTCCCTGCAGGAAATCATTTTAAAACTTTCTTATGATTTATTCTTTCATCATCTACTTTTCAATAGTTGAAGATTTACTAGAAATGTATAGCAGAGCAGGTTTCCCTGTCCAGGCACTGGGAGAGTGCAGGTTGGGCACAGAGGGGCAGGGTAAACAATGGAAACCAAAAAGCTACAGAAACAGAGACCAAGGTCAACAGGGTGTGGAGGCCAGGACAACCACTGGTCCTCACCTCCAGGGTGAGACAAGGGAGGCACTCAACTCGGGTGAGAAAGGAGATGCAAAAAAAAAAGCAGTAATCAAGATAAGTAGTGATATAATATTTATAAAAATCAAAATTAAGGCCAGAAATCCCATGATATCAAAATTTTAAGTGTAGACAGAATGGGGCTCTCATCCCAGCCCTACAGAAGGTTTCCAGGGGTGGGATCTCTGAAGGAGGAATGATGGAGGGAAGAAGAACAAGCTTACAGGGGATAGTCATGCCTTGCCGAGGGGACAGCCACAGGCCTTGGGGTCCGGGGAGACTTGAGCAGCTTGTTCCTGCCATACCCTTGGTGCTGAGTTGTGGCAAATGACAACAGGAGGAAAGAAGACTGGAGACAAATTGTGAAGGTGCTGAGCAACTGTGAACAAAGGCAAGCCTGGTCAAGGCCTTTGGAATGACTTAGACGGTGGAGGTGGAGAGGGGAGAGGAAGTGGCGTTGAGTATAGTTGTTAAAAGTTCGCGTGCGGCTCGGTGCCTATAGCTCAACCGGCTAAGGCGCCAGCCACGTACACCTAAGGTGGCGGGTTCGAATCCCCAGCCCGGACCCGCCAAACAACAATGACGGCTGCAACCAAAAAAAAATAGCCGGGCGTTGTGGCGGGCGCCTGTGGTCCCAGCTACTTGGGAGGCGGAGGCAGGAGACTCGCTTGAGCCCAGGAGTTGGAGGTTGCTGTGAGCTGTAATGCCACGGCACTCTACCCAGGGGGACAGCTTGAGGCTCTGTCTCCAAAAAAAAAAAAAAAAAAAAAAAAAAGTTCGGGTGCTTAGAACAATAACTTTCAGTTATCTAGAGTATTCTACTGACATGGAACTCTTGCTTTCCTCTTCCCCATAAAAATCTGCACAGGAAAGAACCATAGGAAGCATGGACAGCTGGAACTTCTTTAGAAAGCC